TTGCATAACAATGCACATCCACACACCTCTGCAAAAACTTCATCTTCAGGTGTTAAAGCATCCTCTCTATAGTCCTGATCTTGCTCCATCAGACTTTCACCTGTTTGGACCCCTAAACGTAGCTCTTCAAGAATGAAGATTCATCTCTGATGAAGAAGTGAAGACAGCAGTACATTTGTGGCTCACAGCTCAGCCTAAAACTTTTTTTAATAGTGGAATATGGAAGCTTATTGACAGATGTACAAGTGTATTGAAAAGCAAGGAGATTATGTTGAAAAATTATGCATTTGTATACCAGGAGTCCATATATATGTATGATTGGAGTTGCTCTATCTCATATATCATTCTACATATTAATCTATAAATTTTTCTGTTTTTGACATTACTCTTTGCTTTTTCTTTTCATTTTCATTGTTTTTAAAATAAACTTTAAACTGCTTCCCTATAAACAAAATCAGAAGTTAATCTTATACAAGTTACCTATCTGTCCTGTGTTCAATTTAACCTTCACAGTGGCCCAACAAGAAACAGAGTCTAGTCAGAATAGGATCTTGTCAGAATAGAACCTACTGGAAACTGGCATAAATTAAGTTCCAGAGGCTATGGTATATTTCATGCTAGTGAAAATTCCTCTATATGAGCAGATTTGTAAAATAGTGGTTGTCAGCATTAGGTCCATGACCAAGTCCTAGATCAGGGACATCAGACAGAGGTCCAAGATGCCAAGATAATAGGGAGTTGTAGGGAAACAAACCAGCAGACACAACATAGGAATTGAGGTCCTCAACTGACTAAATTGGTGTTCACAGCATAGCACCTGTTCAAGCAGATGTCAGAAATAAATGCTAGGAAATTAAGACGTAAAGAGAAGTCTAGTAGATTCATAACCCTTCTTGGGGTTACAGGCAAATTTTACTCTAAATTCACACCTAGAATGCCCAATCTCAGTGATTGGTACAGCAGACTACTTTTCTTAAAGGTTTAATAATGAAGAACAAAGACTTTGGGGTTAGCAGAACTTGGTCTGTGTCTTCATTCCATCCCCATTTACTGTGAGATATGGAGTAAATTATTTAATCTTAATAAACATTAATTTCCCAACTACTGTTGTTGTTAGATGCCATTGATTGAATTGAGACTCACAGCAACCCCATGTGACAGGGTAAAACAGCCCCATTGGCTTATGGGAAGCAGATAGTCAGGCATTTCTCCCAAGAAGACTCTGGGCAGGTTTCAACAGCCAAACATGCTGTTAGCAGCTGAGTGCTTAACTGTTTGTGTCACCAGGGATCCTTCCTCAAAAGCAAAAAGACTATAATAGTACACACTCTATACTGTTCTTATAAAAATTAAAGTGAATAGGGAATCTAAGTAACACAAGGAAGAGCTCAACAAATCTTACTTAACATAATTTTATCTAGACCACGAATGGAGAATAACAATATAATATGCTTCCAATATGGAAATTTCACTGATTTGGGGACTGAAGACTATTGATTTGTCACTGACCTGAGCAAAGCTGATAGGAGCAGGCAGGCATAATATCTTTATCAATGACATTAATGAAGTGTTCTCATTGAAGAGTCTGCCTTTGTATCTATCCTACACAGCACTTAACACAGTTCTTTATAAATACATATCCAGTTATTAAAGAGAGAGAATGGAAAACATTAACAATAAATTCTTTGCACAGAAAACCATTGTTATACTTTTCCCAGTGTTTCCAAATTTATTGTTTTTGTATGTTTCCAGAAAATTTTCATTTAAGCTTTTCCTCTTTGACTCTATTTCCAGGTTCCTCACTTAGTCCTTTAAAGAAAAAGACTATGATCTTGATGTCTCTCTGATTTTATCAACAGAAATCAGCAAAAAAATTTTAAAAAGCAGATGCATCTTCATCTGACTTGTTCCCACAGCCCTGTGACAGCCTCCGGCCTTGCTGTTTGAATGACCTCTGAATGTCTGCTCCACCCCCACAGCTCAAGTTTGAGCTCCAGAACAAATATTTGTCCTGTTTTGAACAAAGTTTGAGAGCTTTCTTCTTTTTTCCTTCTTTTTTTAAAACCTCTATATTCCTCTCTTGTTCTTTTGAACTCGGTTCAGAGGGAAGGAGTGGAGTTGTCCCCATACCATCTGCTCTGGGAAGCCTGACAAAGCTGTGTGGCAAAATGAAACAACTCATATACTTTCTTTTCTGGTTATTTCTCTCTGAGACACAAGGCTTGGAAATCCCCACAAATGGACTTCCAGAAGTAAGTACTTCCAGAAGTCTCTTTGTTATTGGTCTATATCTGAGCAGTAAGTAGCCTATTTCTATCTAAGGACTGCCTTCTATGTGGAATGAAAATTTATCATCAAATGCCTCTGAAAAGTGGTTACTGTTGTAATTACTGGGAAATACATTTGCCTTTTAAAACATTAGTAAACTTTGCATGAGAATTAAGTCAAGTTCCATGGGTCAATAAACTCCTCGCTTCTTATCTAATATGTTGTTGCTAAGTTGTTATGTTCTGTCGAATAGATTCTGACCCATAGCGACCCTGTATAGGGTTTCCAAAGAGCAGTTGGTAAGCTTGAACCACCGACCTTGCAGTTCAAACGACTTTGCAGTCTGACACATTAGCTCACAGTGCCACACCAGGACTCTTTATCCAATATGGTGGTGGTGGATTTGTGCAGTGGAATCGGAACCGACTCACAGCGACCCTGTACAGGTTTCTGAGGCTGTAAATATTTACAGGAGCAGAATGCCTCATCTTTCTCCCATGGAACAGCTGGTAGTTTCAAACTGCTGACCTTGAGATTTGCAGCCCAATTCATAACGACTGCGCTACTAGAGCTCCTTAAGGGGTAATAATGGATCTACCCCAAGGAATTGTCATGAGAACTAAATGACATGTTAACCACCCAGTATGAGCAAGCTTTTAATAATCATTTAGCTATTACCAGGAACCATGATGGCACAGTGGCTAAAGCACTCAGCTGCTAACTGAAATATCAGTAGTTTGAACCCACCAACCACTCTGAAGGAAAGTGACAGTCTACTTCACAAAGATTTATAAGCTTAGAAACCCTATGGGGCATTCCTATTCTGTCTTATGGGGTCGCCATGGTAGTAGGTTTGGTTTTTTGGTGTATTATCATTGCTATTGAGAAATATATTATCTTATGTATATGCTTTTAATTAACTGTATTGTTCATTTTTATGATTATAACATATTAAGTAAAATTCCACATATGTATGAAATAATTTTTACCTAGGTGAGTTTGCAAAGGTTGAGAAATATAACTATGTAAGATTTTTTTTTTTTTTTAATATGAGTGCTCAAAATTATGAGTGGATAAAAAAACATATTCACTAAAACTACTTGATGACCTTAGAAAACATTACATAGTATAATCTTGTCAGTAGTAAAAAAAAGTAAATCAAATTCTTTGTAACCCTAACATTGATTAAATGAAACAATGATACCATTTAAGATCCTCTAATCTTGGTATGTAGTAGGACTGACTTTTCAGAGGCACCTCTGGTTATTGTTTTATCTGTATAAATCATAACCTCATATTGAACACTGCAATGTAAATGTCATTTCTCTTCATACACACACAAAAGGAATATTTTCTTAAAACTGTAAGAAAAGTCACTACCCAAACACCACTGTTTTTGCATCTAAATGAACAATGATTTCTGTAATACGGTACTTTTAATATCCCTGTTAAAGGCAGATGTGGCAAATAGACCAGCAGAATGCAGGCCATCCCCAACATACATCATTTTCATGAAAGGAAAACCTTGAACTGAGTAATTTTGAAAGCCTTACAAGAGCTACTTTTGTGTCAGAGAAGCAAAGTGTGTTTAAAGGCACTATGCTAGCAAATGCATGGCCTGTGTTACTTGCAGAATGGATTGCCTTAATAAAATAATGGCTTATTCACAAGGGAAAAAAAAAAAATCACTTCCTGCTTAGACTGCTGTATTTTCCAACACTGAAAAACCACCAAAATTTGTTGGGAATCACATAGCTAGAGCCAGGATTTGAAGCCAAATATGTTTCTGCATTTAAAGTCATTTCTTACTGGTAATCTTTTCATATCTGTATTTCTATCTAGAGCAGACTTATGGTTCATGTCTATTCAGTGAAAAATCATTAATGTCCCAAGATGTACAATGTACTTCCCCAGGCACACACCTAATCTCTTGGTCATTCCACCCTGACCTGCCTTCTAGCAAACTCAAAAGTGAATTTCTGTATCCAACAAATTTGAAAATGCTAACTTCTATTTACTCACCTCTGAGGCATAACTGAAAAATGAATCTCATTGCCATTGAGTTAATTCTGACTCATAGAGACTCTCTATCCAGCTTCTAAGGCTGTAAATCTTTGAGAGCACACAGCCTCAACTTTCTCTCACAGAGCAGCTAGTGATTTTGAACCATTAACAAACATAAATTTATTCAAGAAATCAATATAGAAACAAATGAAATTGCTCACAGGTATAGGAAAGAATATATAATAACATGATAAATCCCCTTGTGCCTGCCACTAACTATTTCAAATCTGAACACTTTGCCTCTTTGCTTTAGATGTTTTTTAAAAATAGAAACAAACATCCTACATTCTTTTTCAGTTTGCAGACTATGGAGATCTTGTGGAACTGGCCCCAGGAAGATTTCAATTTGTACCAGAGAACCGGAGGCATCAGGTATAGTAAGCTTCAGCTCCACAAAGAAAAATCGGTATTATAAGAGATCTTTAGTGATGAAGGAAAGGAGCATTAAGATGCCTTTTGCTAGCTAGTCTCAAAAGCCCTTCTGTTTATGTTTTTTAGCAGAAAGAGTACAGGGTTTTACATCTAGGTTGAAGTATTGTCCAGATGCAGTAAATATAATACCTTTGTAACCTCTGAACCATATCGGCCACCTTTGTCCCTTCAGAAATACATGCCTATTTAGTTTCTTCAAAATATAAAATTATAGAATAATTTTATTGCATTATAAGGATGAATTTCTTGTGAGGATGGCATTTCTTAGCCCAGCAAAAACAGACACTATTGTGGTAGAAGCATTCTGTTTCCTCCAGCCACTACCGTCTTGGAGAGTACCTCAGGGAGCACATTACTCAGGAGAGCTGGGCTTGTTAGACTACTACATCTTGGAGGCTAACTGCAGTAGCCTAGGCAAAGGGATGAGCCATATGAAGCTCACAGACTGAGAAAGAAGGCATTTATGGAAGCAAGGTTAAGGGTGACCAATGACCTATTTTGTGTGGATATAAATTTTAGCTTTCTGAAAGTCCAGGTATTTAGTTGATCAGTCATATTAAAATCCAATAAGCGAATCAGTACTTCCAGTTCTTCATCATTTTAAGAGATAAAACTTAGACACTGGGAAGCATAAAAGTCTAAAACAAGGCAGCCATTGACTTCACTATTTATATATCCATATACATATATTGTTATTGTTGTTAAGTGCCGTCAAGTCAGTTTTGACCCAAGCAACCCTGTATAGGGTTTCTGAGGAGCAGCTGATGAGCTTGAACCACCAACCTTGCAGTTCAAACAGCTTTGCAGTCTGGTGTATTAACCCACAGCACCACACCAGGACACTCTGTGTGTATGTGTGTGTGTGTGTGTATCTATCTATCTATCTATGTGTGTGTATATATGTATATATATATGTATGTATATGAGGACTCTCTCTATGCTACCAGAGCGCTCTCTCGCTCATATATATGTATATGAGAGAGAGAGAGAGCATGGCTCAAATTCACCAGCCACTCCTTGTAAACCCTCTACAAGGTCGCTATGGGTCAGAACCAACTTGACGGCACTTAACAACAACAACATAGGGTTTCCAAGGAGCGACTGGTGGATTTGAACTGTCAACCTTGCGGTAGTGCTTATTCTACAGCACCACACCAGGACTCCATATATCTACACTAAAACCTAAGTTTACCCCAAGTAAGGCAAATTAAGCTTATACCCAACACCCAATTTACTCTTTTAAAATTCTTCAGACATTAACTGTTTACTCATCACTCTTGAGTCATTCAACATTCAAAGGCAACGTGATTACCTTTATCCCTTCATGTAAATAATTCCCTAGCAGAGTGGTTAAGAATACAGAATTTTCTAGGGGTCAAGCACGTGCTTACTTTGCTCTAGAGGTACACCAAGGAGAAACCACATCAAAGTCCTTCCTCTCATGGAGTTTAGTCTAACAGAGGAGACAGACATTAATCAAATAATTCCTCAAATAGAATGGATAATTACAAAGCAAAGTGAGTTCTCAGAAGGAAGGAATACGTTCCTATGAAAATACTTGGTAAAGGAAGCAGACCTGAACTGAGGTTGGGGGTGGGGCTCATCAGAGAGAGTTTCATGGAAGGAATTCTGCCTGAGCAGAAATCTGAAGGATGAAGAGGGTGAAGGGGGCCTGGAAAGAGGAACATCGCCGATAGTGGAAATAGCATGTGTCAAAATCAAGTATTTAAAGAACCATTCATCTGAATACAAAATAAATTAGACAAATAGAGAGGATAAAGGAGATATATGCTACTCAGTATGAGTCTGGTTGAATATTTTCACTTAAAATATTTGTAATAGCATTATTTTTTAAATGATGTTCATATAACCAAAAAGTGGCTGAGAAATTTGTTCAGAGAAGCACACCAAAGGAAAACTGGTGTTCAAGTATATTTATTTATTCATGTCTCCGCTCCATTGAAAGAATCAGTATCGAAGAAATACTTTTTCACTAAGAGAAATCAATGTTTGCCCTCAAGGTGATAAGTAAAATATACAGTTGAAAAATGATTATCTAACTTCCTTTCACAGAGAAGTGTTTCTGAGGAATCTGGAGAAATGGTGGTAAGTTTACATTGATTTTGTTAAAAATTGATGTCAGAATGATTTTTCTGTTAATTATTGTTTGGAAGTCAATCCAGTTGTTTCCTTTGTCTTTGTCACTGAGAATATTTACCAGACTTTCGAAATACTCCCTTTCCCAATCCTGTTTGGAAGTGTTTCTAAAGTTCAGCATTAAAGAGTACAGTATATTTGCAGACACGAGAGATGCCACCAAGAACCCAAACTGTTTTTTCTCTTCATTTCCTTGAGTTTTGCCAAAGATATAGATTTCATTCCAAGAATATGAACTTACTTCAATTTAACTGTCAGATTTGATTTTGTTGTTGTTGTCAAGTACTGACGCATAGAGACCCTGTATAGGGTTTCCGAGTGGCGGCTGGTGAGCTTGAACCACCGACCTTATGGTTCAAAGCAACCTTGCAGTCTAGTGCATTAACCCACAATGCCACACCAGGACCCCGTATGATAGCTCATAGTTTTGGAGAGTCTACAGCCATACCACCCTGAATGCAACCAATCTCATCTGATCACAGAAGCTAAACAGGGTTGGGCCTGGTTAGCATTTAGATGGGAGACAGCCTGAGAATCCCAGGTGTTGTAGGCTACTTGAAGGAGCTCTGGTAGCATAGTGGTTACAAGTCGGGCTGCTAACTTCAAGGTCAGCAGTTTGAAACTACCAGCCATTCAGCAGGAAAAAGATGAAGTTTTCTGCTCCTGTAAAGATTTTCATCCTTGGAAGCCCTATGTAGGGTCACTATGAGTTGGAACCAACTCCATAACACACCACCACCACTACAGTTTTGGAGAGTAAAGGAATGATTTTGGGAGAAGAACTCAGAAACATGAAATGGTTTAATTCCCTGAAAGTTCAAAGCAGACCTTCCAGTCTTAAGACTACTCAAAAGGAAGTAGTTTGTGATGTACTTCCTGCTTTGAACTGACAAAAACTATAAGCAGCTCACACAGTTTGTTGTGGTAGGAAAGACAAATAAATTAGCCTAGATTTTATTCCAGCCTGAGGTAAACTAGATATCTAAATTAAAGGTTTAATCTTACAAAACAAGGTTTTCAGGATGATAACTATCATTGAAATAAGAGAATCCTTTTGGAAGGAAAAAGCAAAATCTAATGGGTCATACAACAGCCATAAATCTGAAAACACTTGCAGCTCTCAGGCATCTCCTAAAAGATGTGTGTTTTTAGCACCTTGCCCTTGAGCGTGCTGACATATTGATTTAAATTTCCTTAAATCAATAGAAAAGGGTTGGGAAAGGAGAATCCATAGTGCTGGACCAATAAATGCATCAGAATGCCCTCTTCATGACATCTTATTTGTTGCTTATATGCATCAGTGTTCTTATATTTTACATTAATTTGGGGAAGAAGGTTGGAAAAATATGAGATTTGAGTAAATGAGATTGAAGAAGGTAGGTAGCAGTATGGGGCTTTGGGGATAACATGTTTATTAACCACAAAAATACCACCACAAATCATAAGCTTCAGCCTGAAGTCACTCGGCTCTAGCTCTGTGAGTCAGAAAACCTAGCTCCCCCAATTAAGTGCCTGAAGGTACCCCACTCTGCAAGCAAGCCTCCTGCCCAAAGTCATTCAGCTTTACTTGCTCTATGGGCTGCAGACTCCACCTCTGCTTCATGCTCTGGCTCTTGCTTCTGCTGCTGCATCTGCTCCTCTGTCACTCCTCTGGTGTCACAGCTTTCTGTCCTTGGGTTGAGGAGGTTCAATGTACAGGGATCTTGTGGTCCAAAGGACATGCTCCACTTATGGATTTTCTTTGATGGTAGTGAGATATTCCCTTCTGCTTCTGAGATTGCTCATTTTAAACACATGTTAGAGGTCCAAGTTTTTGCAATCCCAATGAACTCTGTTAACAATCACAACTGATTCATATCATCCTATCAGCATCTTCTCCCGCCTTTTCTTATCCAGACCCATCAGGAAAAAGTAGTTCAGTGGGAGTTTACAAAGATTATGGCTGGAAGTGACATTAAATAATTCACTACACTGCACTGCACTGCACTTCCAAGGAGCTCTGATAGGATAGTGGTTACGAATTGGGCTACTAACCTCAGGGTCAGCAGTTGGAAACTACCAGCTGTTCCGCTGGAGAAAGATGAGGCTTTCTGTTCCCGTAAAGATTTACAGCCCCAGAAACCCTGTACAGGGTTGCTATGAGTCAGAACCGACTCCACGGCACATAACAACAATAACACTGCACTCTAGCTTCCAACTGTGCCCCATTCTAAAGATACAGCTGGCTTCCCTTCCAGTCTTGCAGTCCTGGATCCTTTCCTTAGTTATGGTTCTGACTTTGAAGTTGTTTCTAGGATTTTCTCACATCCAATCTCATTATTAATAGACTCATAGAGCTAAATAGAGATTCTAAAATAATCTGAAAAAATAAATAAATAATAAATCAGACTTCTGCCTATGATGTATTCCAACCTATGGTGTATTCCAAGAAGTTGGGGGGAATATGTAATAATACCTGAGTCATATACTTAACAATGTCCCAGAGTTGTTTTTCATAAATACAATATACTGCTGTCATATGTACCTAGTAATATGTAGTGAAATGCTATGTAGGTTTTCTGAATATAGTTATTATGCTTTCTTTCCTATTACAGGAAAATGTGGATCAAGTAACACTCTACAGCTATAAAGTCCGATCCACTGTTACGTCTCGTGTGGCTAATACCGTCATCCAGAGCAAAGTGGTGAACAACTCCCCACTGCCTCAAAACGTCGTGTTTGATGTTCAAATCCCCAAAGGAGCCTTCATTTCCAACTTCACCATGTGAGTAACTCCTAACAGCACACTTGGATATGCTCTAATCACAGAATCGAAGACTCTCACCATTAGAAAGATCTGAAGGATCATTGGTCCCTGTGGTTCATATTTGCAGAGATGTGAACCCTCTGATGTATCATGAGTCATTATGGAATGGGCCCCAATAATTTATTGCTCTTCAAAGTATCAGAATTTGTGATGGATTCAGAGTTTATTTCTAACAAATCAAACCACACTATCTTTGTGGTAACAACCTGTCATTCCCTTGCAGTTAATATATTACCCTGTTATAGAGAACTGTTTAAATGAGTGTATGTGGAACATGTCAGTGTCATCTGTCATACATTTCTCTATGGGGGGGACTCACCCATTAAATATAATCATTTCTCCAGTGCTTGAATTTCTCTATTATACTGCTGACAAGATGGTTGTCTAGGCTTGACTTAAATATCTCCTTAATGATAATCTCACTAACTTTCAAAATAATCTATTCAATAATTGACAGTTCATTTAGAATTATTTCTCATGCTTAATTTAAATTTTTCTCATTTTTTTGTCAGTGACTATAGTTCTACTGACATTAAACACACACACAAGTACACTGCCATTGAGTCAATTCCAACTCATGGCAACCCCATAGGATAGGGTAGAACTTCTCCTTATGGTTCCTGAGACTGTAAATCTTTACAGGAGCAGACAGTTCATCTTTCTCTGGTCAGTTTGAATCCCCACCCTTTGGGGTAGCAGCCTAACCCTTAACCCACAGTGCCACTAGGACTGTAAAAAATTTTACATAATACATACATACTGAAATATTCATGGCTGAAAAGATATGTTACCTGGGACTGACTTCTGAGATTATAAATCTTTGTAGAAGCAGACTGCCTCATCTTCCTCCCGAGGAGAGGTTGCTGGGTTTGAACATCTAACTTTCCCAGTTAGCAGTCCAGCACTTAATCCACTGCACCACCAGGGTTCCTTAGAGCCTACACATTATTGTTGTTGTTAAGTGCTGTCTAGTTGGGTCTGACTCATAGTGATCCTGCATACAGTTTCCACAGAATGGCTGGTGGGTTTGAACCACCAACCTTGCAATTAGCAGTCCAGTATTTATCCTACAGTGCCACACCAGGACTCCTACATTGTTGTTGTTGTTTTTGTTAAGTGCCTTCAAGTCGATTCCGACCCCTAGCGACCCTGTATAGGGTTTCCGAGGAGCAGCTGGTGAGCTTGAACCACCGACCTTGCAGTTCAAACAGCTTTGTAGTCTGTCACTAGTCGCTCTCAAATCAAAGGAGGGCCTCTCTATGAAATATCCTAATTAAATAAAGAAGCTCTGATAGAGTAGTTATGACTCAGGCTGCTAACCTCAAGGTCAGCAGTTCGAAACAACCAGCTGTTCTGTGGGCAAAAGATGAGGCTTTCTGCTCCCATAGAGCTTCAGAAACCCTATATAAGGTCATTGAGTCAGAATTGACTCCACGGCACACCACTACCACCACCACCAATGTTAAATAAGCTCTTCTTGTTTCTCAGAGTTGCAATATCCTAAAAGGCCTGGCCTCTGTTGATTAAATCAAACTTGTTGGGTTGTTTCTTTGTTTGTTTGGCTAAGTCTGCTCTTCTGACCAACTGGCTGCCTCTGTCATTTTCTAGGACGATAGATGGCACAACGTTTACCAGCTCCATTAAGGAGAAAACTGTGGGTAAAGTACTCTACTCACAGGCAAGAGCAAAAGGCAAGACTGCTGGATTGGTGAGGTAAGAGCTAGCAGAGCACAGCCTGTCCTTCCATTCATAGTCTGGCTCCCAATGGCAAACAGAGCATAAGAAACACCTACAAACTCTTGTAGTCAGATGGCAGAATTTAGGTCTCACCAGTCTTATTTCCTTAAAGGCCTCTCTCTCATCAATGACTGGATCGTTAGGTGCTCTCACACCAATCCTTAACTGTAGTGCTTTTCAGATAGATGGATGCTTTGTAAATAAATATCGGTGTTCTAAAGGGTGTATCAAGTCATTATGGAAGTATTGGTGGTGATCTTGTTACAACACTTACCGTATGTACAGAAACACAAGTTTAGAATTTGTTTGAATGACTTTTGTCTGCCTTATTCTATTCTATTCTATTCTAAAGCATCATTTACTTAGATTTCACATTTTCTTTGGGCTCCTGCCCCCTGCCCCATACTCTTAAATAAAATACTTTTTTTTAGGAATACCAACCCCATTTTTAAAAGGCCAGAAACGTCAAAGGAATTTTTAACTCATCATTCCTTACACTGTAAATCTAATCTGATGCCAAACTCTGCCATCTTTTTTGCTTAATATTCTCCTCCTCCACACCCCCAAATTTAGTTGTCATTTCATTCATATATTTGTTCATACAACAGAATTGTGTTGAATGTCAACTCTGTGCTTAATTCTCTCAGAGGCAGCAGAAACAGAAAAAATAAGTATTGTTAGGCTGATAGAGGAGACACACCATTCCAGGACTCAGGGTACTAAGTGAGTGATTCAGTCTGGGGTTCCATAAAATCATCACAGAACTGGTGATATTTGAATTGTGCCCAAATAGATTAATAGAATTTAGGCAGGATGAGAAAAAAAAAAAAAAAATACGGTTCTAAGCTAAGGGAACACCTTCAGTGTGGCTTCATGTTAATCAATTGTATTACTCTTTCCTATCATTTTGTAATCTTTACTCATCACTGTAACTACATCATCCATTTATTTATTCCACAAATATTCCTATCTTCTAAGAAATACAGCAGAGAACAAAGCAGATCAAAGTCACATAGAATGCACATTCTAGTTCACTCCTCAGTTAAATATGACTTCTCATTACGTTCTACTTCTAGCTTTGCACTGGTACATGCTCAGCTTTTTCTTCAACTATCCAATATCTCAAGTATACTTCCCAATAGACCTTTGTCAGTTCTAACTGAGCTGACTAAACACAATCTCATCTAGCTTATTTTGTTATTTAATTGTAAAATATCATGCATTATTTATCCTATTGCTTATCTTATGACTCCCCTCATGTGATAATTCTCATGTTCTCTCTTTAAAACCAAATGCACTTCAAGGTCAATGATCACATTGGACTCGACAAAGCAATGAATGCTTTATGCTACACATGCATACTCAGTTTGATGGAATGGTAGATTTCTTCATTCTAAATACCTTTAAAAAATAATTTAAAGAAATATATATATAAAACCCTAGAATGCGTCTCAAATGTGGTAGAGGGAAGTATATAGTCTTTTGAGCTGTCCAAACTTGGATTTGAGAGTCCTAGATCTACGACTCATTAGTTCTGTGTTCTTGAGAAGGTGACTTATTCTCTAGGACCCTGATAAATGAGTGCAATGATATCTATCTTTCAGAATTACTATATGAAAGATGGTATATGTCAAACACTTGACACATAATAGGAATAAATAACTGGCAGCTCTTTAAAGATGACACTCAAATCAGTAAGAAGTTCTAAAAGAAAAAGATCAGATGGAAGAGGTGACTGAAACTCTTGGTGAAATCAAATTTACTAGAAGTTGCATTTATCACTATTATAGCTAGTGATCATTTTTATGAACAATGGCACAGGTTTAATTGCCCAAAGGAATCTAGGTGTTCTCTGCCTAGAGTTTGGGTCAGTGGTTCTGTCATACACATGGTGACTTTGCTGAGAGCTCACACTTTTAGGAGCAGGGCACTTGATATGGAGAACTTCAAAACCGAAGTCAACGTCCTCCCTGGATCAAAGGTGCAGTTTGAACTTCATTACCAGGAAGTGAAATGGAGGAAGCTGGGATCCTATGAACACAGGATTCATCTGCAGCCCGGGCGACTGGCCAAACACTTGGAGGTAAACCTGGATGTGTATGAATAGCATATGCTGTGTTATGGTACTAGCCTCTTTGGGTCCCTACCCTCAATGTATACTTCCTGTGTCATCACTATTTATGGTGTTCAATACCACTCTTGACCCTGAAAAACTAAAAACCTTAGGTTTTTGGAGTTAACCACACAACTTTGCTTCCTTACAGATTTAAATGCAAGTTAGGTTGTTATTAGCTTCTGACTTGGGGGCAAATTATCCTGAGTCTTCATGTCCTCTTCTGTGAAAAAGATACTGTAATGTACTTAACCTGACTTACCTCTGCAATAAACTTAGGAAAATAGGTGGTAAATAGCAGGAACTCAATGAATGTTAAGTCAGTCATCTTCCCTTGCCATCCCATTCACTTCCAGCATCACACCCACCTATTGTCATCTCCTAAAGGTAGGGTGGAGGGTCAGAGAAAAAGAGGAAGACCCCCAACAAGATGGATTGGCCAAGTGGCAGCATCGATGGACTCAGGTGTGGCAACAGTAGTGAGGTTGGCCCAGGATCAGGCAGTGTTTCATTCTGCTGTGCATAAGGTCGCTATGAGTCGGTACTAACTTGATGGCACCTAACAACAACAAACTGAATAATGCCTTTAGATGTTGATTTGACTATGAACTTGAACTCATCTTTGCTGTAATCTTTATCTCTTGCTTTAAAATCTGGAGTATTCTTTTCTTTGCTGGACTCTTCGTGAACTCATGGGAGCACTTTGTGTGTTCAATTATATGAAGCAGCAAACATCCAGAAGAAACCTAGGAACACACACAATCAAATATGCCTTTCCCATGGAAACTGAAAACCAAAAGGGAAGAACACACTAACCATTTCTCAAGCTGAAAGAACAAAAGAAAAAAATCAAGCATCAACTTGAAATATTGAAGGATTCTATGGGGAAAATATTGAATGACACAGAAAGAATCAAAAGAAGATGACAGGTATACACTGTACCAAAAAGAAATGGCCAACCATTTCAAGAGGTAGCATATGATCAAGAATAGATGGTGCTGGGAAGTCAGGGCTTGATGGCGGCTAGGGTGGAGGTGCAACAAAGTTTGCCGTCAACCACACCACAGAATACCAGGCAAAGCAGATCCAGGGCAGAGCTCCAAAACTCAGAACCACAGAGATAGGAATATTTTGAAGGTTTGAAGGCTTACAGATTGTGGAACTTGAAGCTGAAGTAAAAAACTGCATACTTTTGAATCTGCTGCCGGGCTGAGCTCGGAGGCCTGGAGCCAACATCTTGGGCGAGACCAAATGGCAGAAACACCACGGAAAAACTCCACGGGAACCTTGGAGCAAAGGTGGACAATACACTTTGTCAGTTTTGCTTTGTTCTGATTTTTTTTTTTTTTTTTGGTATCTTGTCATTGGCACACCCACTGTTTGCCCACCTCCATTCTGGTGACTAGAGGGGAGTGCCTGAGTGAGTGAACACCCCCCACCCTCACCAATGGTGGGTTCTTCTGCCACTCATGTGCACAGATACTCAGCCCAAGAGCCGGCCCTGAACGTTTTTTGCTTGTTTGTCTTTTGTTTTGTTTTTTAATACAAGAAAGGGCAGGACAGAGCTATAGAGAGGGAAAGAGAGTTTAAAAACAAAACAGGCCGAAAAATTAAATTAAAGTCTGAGGTATATCATAACAACAAACACTGGCATCTTAAAATCTCTCAGGCAGCTTTGAAAGCAAGATTTTTTTTTTTTCCTTCTCTCCCTCCTCTCCCTTTTCTATGATTATAGACTGTAGTATTCAGTCTAGTTTTTGTTGTTGCTGTTTTTTGTTTGTTGTTGTTTTTTTTTTCTCCCCCCCCCCCCCACTGGTGCTGTTTTGCTGTTATATGCTCCCCCTTCTACCTTTGGAGGACTCTTTGTCTCCCTATATTACACAAGAAGAGTCAGCAGCTGCTGCCATATAGCCAAGCTACAATCACACACTATAAAACACCAAAACCCAGGCAAGAACGAATACCAACTGCCATATACCAGGGAAACAGACAACACTTATGAAAGTTACTCTGAGTTAAGCAATAAGAAGAGTGAAAAGGGAAGCCTACATCCTGATCACATCTCCCTGGAAGCAATCAGAAAACATAAAAAATACCAAAACACATACTCAATTAAGTATTAAGAATAGATGGTACTGAAGGAAGAAGTTCAAGCTGCGCTGAAGGCACTGGCGAAAAACAAGACTCCAGGAATTCATGGAACACAAATTGAAGTTTTTCTACAAGCTGATGCAGCACCTGAGGCACTCACTCGTTTATGTCAAAAAATTTGGAAGACAGATACCTGGCCAATCAATTGGAAGAGATCCATATTTGTGCCCATTACAAAAAAAGGTTATCCAATGCAATGTGGGAATCACCAAATATTATCACTACTATTACATGCAAGTCTACTGCAAAAGACCTCTTTAAAGTGTTCAAGAGCAAAGAAATCAGTCTGAAGACTAAGATGAACCTGACTCAAACCATGGTATTTTCAGTAACCTCATATGCATGTGAAATTTGGACAATGAATAAAGAAGACTGGAGAAGAATTGATGTTTTTGCATTGTGGTGTCAGAGTAGAATATTAAAAGTACCACGGACTGCCAGAAAAACAAACAAATCTGAATTGGAAGAAATACAGTCAGAATGCTTCTTAGAAGCCAGTTCTTTCATACTTTATACATTTTATCAGCAGGAACCAGTCCCTGGAGAAGGACATCATACTTGATTAAGTGAAGTGTCAACAAAAAATAGGAAGACCCCCAAAGAGATGGATTGATACAGTGGCAGAAACAATAGGCTCACATGTAGCAACAATCTTGAGGATGGTCAGTGTTTCGTTGTTAAGCAAAGGGTTACTATAAGTCAGAACTGACTTGATGGAACCCAACAACAACAACATAAAATGGAAAAGTGAAACCACAGTCTATGAACTGCCCATAAACTCAGATTACGAGTTGGTAGAGAAGACTAAAGGGAATGGATCCGTCATGGTGAATTTTTCATTCTAATTGTAAGAATTACATGTATGATCATTTAAAATCCTTTTAGGATAGGTACTGGACCACAAGGTTGGTTTGAACCACAAGGTGCCAACTTAATGGCACATAACAATAACTGTTTGGCATTAGTCTACTATCTGTGTATACGAGATCTCTTAAGGACCATACTTGGCATATATAGTGTATTTTTGCAATTTAAGAAAAGTGCTTTTCCTTGAGAAAAATACAGTCTGATTCCAGGGCATGTGGGCATGTAAACTATGGGCTGGACGTCAGCTCCTTTTCCCAACCCTACCCAAACAAATACGTGTTCCCAGTTATTTTTCCATAATGATGATCAATACATGCCAGTCACCCACATTCTCATGCTCAACAGTATGAATCTTGTGGTAAATAGTATGAAGCAACAGCTAGAAGAGATTAACATCTAACCTCTATGCAATAGTTGAGATTATTGTTAATAATAATACTATTAATAGTAACTGAGTTTATAATATGAAAATGCTTGCATTCTATAACATTTTGGGTGTGGCTTATGCATATTATGCCATTCAATCCTTGCAAATATTTATGAGGTAGACACCACTATCCCTAATTTACAAGTGCAAATTGGGGCACAAAATTAAATAGCTTGATTTACACACCTGAAAGAAAAAAAAATAAGGTTTGAACTTAGGTCTGATTATGTCTAAAATTATATTCTGCCATAAATCTAAGAATTTAAATTTGGGTTCATTCAGAGCATGGTTCTTATCACATACAATAGGAAGCATACAAATAAATCTTTCTTACATTTTAATTCAGTCTTAAATCTTCCATGCTCTTGGGAATTTTTTTAATTTAAAATAAAACAGACAGGGTTTGCTATATTAAAAAGAGTGTTAGGCAAAGAGGCATATTTTCTGAGCTCTGATCCTAAACTGATATTAATGAGCTATGGATTCTGGGTAGTTTCTCTCTCTGGTCTTCACTTTCTCATCTGTGACTAAATAATATTTAAAATGCCTTTCACAATTACTCCAATGGACTAATGACCACACAGACATCTGTCTCCACAACACTAAGATCAGAACTAGATGATGCCTGGTTACCACTACCAACCCCTCTGAAAGGGACCACATTAGAAGTTCCTTGATAGAATGGGAACCAATGTGGAACAAAATTCAAAATCATAAAAAGATCAGTCTTACTGGTCAGATAGAGACCGTTAGAACACTTGAGATGGTGACCGCTCATTAGTTACCCTTCAGGACTGGAACTGAACTCACCCCCATGGCTCAAGTTTCAGCCAAGCAATAGACAAATTTGTAAAGAGAGCAATAACACATGGGGGGAATGTTGTTGTTATTGCTAGGTGCCATCGAGTCGGTACTGACCCATAGTGACTTTATGCACAGCAGAACGAAACACTGCCTGATCCTGGGCCAACCTCACTACTGTTGCCACATTTGAGTCCATTGTTGCTGCCTCTTGGCCAATCCATCTCGTTGGGGGTCTTCCTCTTTTTCTCAGACCCTCCACCTTACCAAGCATGATATCTTTCTCCAGTGACTGGTCCCTCCTGACAATAT